AGGTCCTGTGATGATTTCTGAAATTCCTTCATGAGTTGTATGCGAGTATTGATGCTAGTGATCACCGGTAGTTATCAGTCAATCTCCAAATCCTGCTACTTTCATCCTAATAACATAGCTTATATTCAACCCTTCTGATGCAGTAAAATGCTTGTCTGTTCCACCTTAGGAGACTATTGGAGGCTGTACATTTTTTAAAAAGAGTAGTATGGATCACCCCTTGCTTCATCAATGACACTGTGAGGTCCAAAAATGTCAAAGTGGACCCCCCAACCTCCGATGTAAATTTAAGATTTTCTTTGTTGTCATTGATGATAGACACAAAATCATGAAAATCCTGAGAAGTACCCTGCCACACAATTATGATGTCATCTATGATCTAAGAGAAAAAGTCAGATAAAGGGACACTCCACTGTCCAAATTAACAATATATAATAAATAACTAATAGATATATCCTCAATGGGGGTATATATAAGACAACTTACAAAAGCAGCAGATATCTTATCTACTGCCTATGCAAACCTTCTCCTTCCTTATCAGCCCAGACTTTATGTGGCTGCCCAATCATAGACTTACTAATGTAGTTCAATGAGCAGTCTTTGCAAGACAGGTGCTAGATTTATATGTTAGGTACCTGAAGAGCTGGCCTTAGGTGTTCAGACGCCCTGTGTGAGCTAATCTTGTGGTGCCCCCCCTTCACCCTCACCCCGTGGTCATCTAAACATACCCAGTGAGGGAAAAAATATTTGTAACGCATCATTTTTTTAATTACAGATAATTTAAGTGCCAGTGCAAGTGCAAACAAGTACAATAATAAATAACAGGATTGACTGGTAACAATAATGTATATTAAATATATTAAATACAGAAAAAAACAGCTAACTGCAATCTTTTTAACATTGTTTTTTAGAGGTAACATATGTGCAAATGCAATAATAACTGGGAACACTGGTAAACAAAATATACACCTCCTGACAAGTAATATTAATCTGAAGCTCAAAATACAACTTTACGTGTTTTTGTCTTTGCAAACTCATCAATCACTCTGTTCATGTCCAACGTCTTCAATACATCACTTTCAATGGATAATACTGTGATGAAACAACCAAGTTATTCTGGACTTTTTATGTTTTATTGGTTTGGTAGCTGTAACTACCGAACACTGACCACACCCCTGGCTTATTATCTTCAAAGAGAGCAGTCAATTAAGTGCTCTCCCTGTGTGGCCGCTGTTCGTATAATCGAACGCCATGTGCAGGAGAAAATGGCGGCCATCTTGTACACTGAGTGCCTGGAACTAAAATCAGACACTCGACTTCCCGAACACCGGTCAATCTATACAAACGTATATGGTATAATACAATAGTGACTTTCAAAACTTTCCCTAATAGGATTTACCCTATCCATATATACCAAACTATACAAACGCCTGCTTCCTTTTTCCGAACAGCCAGGAGAGCACTGTTTGGTTGTCTTGTTCCCACGAACTAGGGGAACAAACGCTGCTATGAACCAGGGGGTATGATACGTGCATATATTTGTTTTTGAGACTTTTTGAAATAGACTGACCGCAAAGCCTAAACTCATGGAACTGTTTCTGGGCAGGAGCCTCATGTGTGGTCGGTCAAAATTAGACTTCCATAAAATTCCAAAACCCCTGGGTGATTTTTGGTATTGTTGGTCACCCAGATCAGATGTGTTTTGGGGTACTTTTCAAGTTTTATGAAAAATGTGTTTTTTTTCTGCCTGGAGATAATTGAGTTATTACAGTATCTGACTCAATTATCTCACAGGCAGAGAGGATGGAATTATCTGTTTGTATTGGGAGTGTCACACTTTGTCACTGTATTATTATTGGTTGTAAACTTTGTGTTCCTGTTCCCCACAAGGTCTATGTGAGAGTGCCCTTTGCATGGGGACTTGCATAAAAGTCAATGTGGCACCCATTAAAATGATTCCTGTTGTACCCTTCATCTAGTCTAGGCTGATGTTTGGGGTAACTGTCTACCGCTGGGAGAAACACTACTTGGATGCTGCATTTATCTGGAACTGTTCGAATCTACACCCGAACTGCAAGCTATAATCACTCAGGCTTAGCAGTTTGGGAAGAAATAGACGAACAGGGTATCTACTATACCGACGTTCCTAACAAATACTGATAAAGAGGTTAGTCTGTCATCAGTCATTGATGATCTCAGATATGTTTTAATGAGTTTTAACATGGAAAAGCTGTGTTCTCCTGACGCCACAGAAACAGGAATTGTTAATAGAATCCAAAATGCTATCCACATGTTTGGAAATGTGTCAGTCAGGCCATTTCTCACTATGAAATTGAGTGTGTGGAAGGGTGCTGTGGGATCTTGAGGTAATAGGCTTTAAATATGCCAAAGCTCCTCTGAAAGAACTAGACCATTAATGTCCGATTGGCTGCTCTTCTCTAACGCCTTCTGTAACTGCAAGCAACAGTCTCCTAAGTTTTCTCTTGCTGGAAGATGTCTCATGTTGTATAGAAATCTCTATACTTTGTTGTGTTCCTCCAAAGATTTAGCAGCAGTATTAACCAAAACATAAAAAAATCAATCTTAAATTTCTTTGTGGGATCTGTTAAAGGTTCATCTTGGTTTTCGTAATCAAAGGCTTTTTTCTGTGGATACGAGAAGGCTTTTAAAAACAGGCTCCACATTAACTTTTTCTGCTAGTTCCTTTGCAATCTGGAAGGAGCTTTCAAATCCAGACTCTCTGAAATTCATAAAAAAATTGTGACATTTCTGGATTAGGTTTGAGACTAAAATGATATCAACAGCCTCATTCTGCATAGCTTTGCTCACAATATTAACTTGGTACACATTTGGTACATCTCATACCAAACATACAATGACAATAAATTTGAACTCCACTATCTGCTGAGATAGTGTGTTAGCCTCATGACAAAGGTTTGGTTCAGTGTGGGTTTCCTCAGACAAAACAATCAATGCTTCTTGTATTTCGCCTAAACTAAGTCTTGGTGGTTTAAGACAATTTACACAGCATTCCCACTGTGTGGTGCACAAAGGCTTTAAAGTGAGGCCAGAAACATGGTCAGACAAAATTTTCCATCTCTTTACGGATCCTTAGAATAGAACATAAAGGCGCTGAATGATACCAATAGTCGCATTGATTCCTTGCATGAGCGTACTGCATCTCCGATTACAAGATTAAGACATTGACAGCAACACGGTATAAATACTGCTCTTGGGTTTATGTTTAAAAAAAATTTCTTCACCACTGTCTAATTTTCTTTTGTAGAATGCTGAATAAAAATGCCGTTTATAAGCATCTTTTTTAAAATCAACATCTTGTACCTGTACAGGACCAACATCTAAAATATTATCAATATTCTTAGAAATCAATTTGGGCCACAAAGCAGGATCTGTGAAGCGTGATTTTTCACATGTGCTTATTGTTTCATCAAAAGCCTTCACCCCCTTCACCAAACCCATTGGCCACCCCTTCAGTAAAACCCCTGCCCCCTTTATCAAACCCTGACCCCCTTCATCAACCCCCTGCCCCCGTTCATCAATCCCCTGCCCCCCTTCATCAGACACTGCCTCTATTCAGCAGACCCTGCCCACTTCACCAATCCCTGCCCTCCTTCATCAGACTCCTTCCCCCCTTTATCAATCCCCAGGCTGCACCCCTTCATCAACCCTTTGCCCCCTTCATCAGACCCTGACCCCTTAATCAAACTCAGCCCCTTAATCAAACTCTGCCCCTTCACCCAGGCCCCTAATCCCTTATTCAGACCCTGCCCCATCACCAGTGTCCTGCCCCCCTTAATCAGACCCTGCTCCCCTAGATCAGACCCTGCCCCCTTAATCAGACTCTACCCCCATTCACCAGATCCTGACCCCCTTAATCAGACCCTGTGTCAGGCTCCCGCGGGCGGCTGCGAGGGAGGCTGCACTCCGCTCGCAGTACTCACCCTCCAGCCGTCCGCGGTCCCCTCCGCCTCGTGGGTACGGCGAGCGGCATCCTTCCAGCCTCGGATGCCGCCCGCCGTTCCCTCCACGTCCCCCAGCGGCAGCATGCATGACGCTGCACGCTGGGAGACCGCCCAGGTTTATACACGCCGGGGTCAGTCACCTGACCCGGCGTTAAAGGCACAGTGCCTCAATCACAGTGGGAGGTCTAAATATCTCCCACGTGTGATTGTTAATTCTGATTGGAAATTATCCAATCAGAATTAACCTTATGGTTTAAATACTTACCTTTCCTGTTCCTCCCTGCCCTGTTGTGGTCTTTGCTTTCTAGTATTGCTACTTACCTTGTGCTTCTGGTTACGTACTCTCTGGCTTGTTTATCTGACTCTGTGACTTTCTCCTACCCTTTGACCTCGGCTCGTTTCACGTTATTCTGTCTTCTGGTTCCCCTTTACTCGGCTTGTCTCCTGACTATTCTGTGTGTGCTTAGCCCGGCCACTCTAAGGTCCGGTACGGCACCTTTTGTGTGTGTGTGTGTGTGCCAGCGTGTTGGGTTCCGCGAATCGTGACACCCTGCCCCCCTTCACCAGTGTCTTTCCCCCCTTAATCAGACCCTGACCCCCTTAATCAAACTCTGCCCTCCTTAATCAGACTCTGCCCCCCTTCACCAGACCCCGATCCCCTTAATCAGACCCTGTCCCCCTTAATCAGACCCTGCCCCCCTTCACTAGTCCCCTGCCGCCCTTCACCAGTCCCCTTCCCCTCCTTAATCAGACCCTGCCTCCCTTAATCAGACTCTGTCCCGCTTAATCAGACCCTGTCACCATTCACCAGTCCCCTGCTCCCCTTCATCAACCCCCTGCCACCCTTAATCAACCCCCTGCCCCCTTTAATAAAAGGAAGTATATTTGGTTAAAAAAAAACAACAACAAAAAACCCAACCAAAAACCCCCCAAATAAGAACAGATACTCACTCACTAACTTTGAAGGCTGCTTCTTCCTGGATCCAGCTTCCCACACCTGTAGAGTCTGCAGAGCACCGGCCGCTGCCCTTACAAACTGAGTGGATCCTTCCACAGCTCTCTGTGGAGGCGCAGCACTTGGATGCTGCGCCCCTAAGCTCCTTCTCCCTGCTCCATACCTTGCTTCCTGCATAGTAGCTGGCAGCTGCATACCGGATTGCTGCAGCTCACCTCTCCCCATCTTGGGCCGGCCTGCTGTGAGTGACCGACTGCGAGCTGTGTCGGCCGCAGATGCACAGCTCGCACACCCCAAAGGCCAGCCCTGGGTACTTGTAGGCACTGGACATTGCAGGTATAAAAAAAATCTCAAAAACTAATTCAGATTTGACAACTGCATATGTATACATGTATGCAGTGGCGACTCTAGTAACATTATTCTGGGGGGACACTTGTAATTTCCACTGGGGTGGAGGGGTAACATACTGTCATTGGCTGTGTGGTGCCAGCATGCTGTGAATAATGGCCCCAGCCACCACATTTGCACATAATTCACTTTAGCCATCAGGTATTCCTGTTCTGGCTGGCTAATGACACCCCAATGATGCTGCGAAGGTGCCGTTACACCTTGAACAGCAGAGGGGTTAATATCTGTATGTACAGTGAGTTTTACACCCTCTATAATTGTTCTTGTAGCTCTGCTATTAAGCATAGGAGGCTAAATAGGCTACAGTAGACATTGGCCAAAGCTCTTTGTACTTAACTCCCCTAGCCAGCCAACCTGAGCTCCAGAAAAGCACATTATAAGTGCTGTAAAATAAGTACCCCCTAAAGGACAAGTACCTGTAGGCAGGTACTTACTCTGCCTAATGGGAATGTCAGCCATAATGTTCAGGGCAATTACTGCCTCTTGGGTTTAGCTCAACTGAGCTAAACAACTAGGAGGTAAAAGGACCGGCTGTTGGACTGACATTCAGGGGGTGTAACAAGGTTAATTCATAAAAGTGCCAATTTCTATTGAAATCTACAGTTTTTGTAAAATGAAAAAAAAGTGCTTTAGGTGTTTGGAATGTTCCTTTAACAACTCACAATTCTCAATACATTTTAGTTAACAGCACACACAGAAACATACAATGCATATTTAATTATTTGTAAGTACTGGTCAGGCTTAAAGGTTACTCACCACTACATTCCAGGAAGGTCCGTGGCATATTTTTCAAAAATGCAGAAATTTTGAGCCGTGTGTGTGCGTAGTTTTAACTTAATACCTGTGAAATTTGTCAAGCTAGGTTTATGAAAACACTACTGGCATCTTTCTCAGATGATTAAAGGTGACGTTGGCATACACTGAATAAATCTGTTATAGCATCTTGTGAAGTTGCTATACAAATGCAGTGGAAAAATCACCTTTTTATAGGGGGGCATCAGAAACCACTAATAAGTATGCAGCTATTCTTGCAAGAGAATATGCAGACGTTAAATGCAGAAATGTAATGAGTAAACCTGTTATTAAAGGAACACTACAAGTACCTTAGCCATTACAGCCTGTATGATCTCACAGAGTACTTTGCTAGACTGTTTTAGAACTGTTTAACTGGATCCTCCTGGCACTGTGACCACTACAGTGGCTGTATGGCTTATGCTGCTTGAAGTGTTCATTTAAAATTGAGCTATATTTGCTTTGCAACAGGTAATACATATGGAGGTTAATAGCCAATAACTTTAGAAATAGGAATAATACCCTTTTTATTTTATTAGGTTTTTTATGTAGTTTTCCCCCTTTTATTTTGTTTATATTTGTCAAACATTTATATTGAATGTTCTATCTTTTTTGTTATTGCAAAAACACTCAAATAAAATAATTTGAAATGAAATGGTAGTAATATGATTGATAATAGTGATAGCTGTGTCTAGGCACTTGAAACAAACTGCAGATAGGAAAAACATATTTTATACTTGTTGACAAAATCAAGGTTTTGTCTATCTTAGCAGAATGTTGACTCTTCTCGTATAGTAGTGCCTCACATCATCCTGTCATAATGCAGCAAGCATCATGTAATATGTAATGGAATTTAACAATATAAATAACTCTTTAATGCACTTGCAGAGAAAAATAGGGTTTTATGCTGATCAAGAGGAGAATATGAAATTAGCATCCGCTCTCTTTTTATGTTATTTTTTACATGATTTTTTTTTTTTTACCTGAGGAGGTCTAGCATTAACCTATCATTAGTTGTTTATAAATCATATACAGTATAATTGGTTGTTATTTTTCCCTCATGGAGCTGTGAGATTGATGACATGCTATTGTTGTTGTGCCATTATTATTGTCATTATGGTGTTCATGGCTGAATATTTGCTGTACTGAAAATATAGCTAAAGTTATATCAAACCCGTGTTTGTATGTTTCAAATATTGTTTCCAGACTTTTCAGATGATAAATTACTAAAATGTTTTCTGTCATCTGTCAGCAGATGATGTTCCCAATCACTTTTAATAAATAACCAGTCTGCTTTACTTATTGTTCTGAATAAATTTAAAATATAAATTCTCGCTGTAACATAAATGTCTAAATATCAAATTGGCTATATGTAACATATTATGAAATCATATAATCATACGCAATAAGCATGTGAGACATTTTTATTCATTCTATTTTGTCATCCATAGTAGGGAATGCTTTTTTACATTTAATTATTGAATTTATATTATGTCCGTTGTGTCAGCATGAATAGTATTCGGACACCAGACACAGTGTGCATCCAATGCTTCTCTACGAGAAACACTGGATTCAGTGCCTCTAACAGAGAAGCATTCAAATGATGGATCGCAATGATTGTTGTGCAGTCACTGTGTCAATGCTTCTTTACAAGAAGCATCTGAATGGACATAAGGTATCAGGATTGATAATATCATTGGAGGTGGATCACACTGCAGTGAGAAGTTTATTCTGGCGCTAGAATAAAGGTAATTTTTTATGGCATTTTTAAACTTTTTTAAGAAAATGAATGGGAGGCCATTAATCTAAAATAAATATTTTTATAGTGTTCCTGTAGAGCTCGTTGATTGTTAAGGTGAAATGCAGTTTGGAAACATATATGCTGTTGAACAAAAAAAAAACAGGCACCCTTGATCAAACTTAGTTGAATCAGGTATATATAGCCACTTTGACACTACCAGAAGTGTCACGAGATTAACCCTACAAATAACAAAAATACCTAAAGAATAGAAACAAAAAAAACATTTTAAATTGTAAGTCCAAGCTTTCAGGTGTGTCAGCACCAAAATACGTCAGGCACTTTCTTTCTCACTATAAACCTATCAATAATTTGAGACAGAGCTGTGATTATCAATTAGACCAGGGATTGTAGGCTTTCAGGGGTGATTCTCATTTGTCAAAGTAGACTATTTTCCATACTCTCTTTCTCCTCAAGCCTATCTGTACCATTATCTCTGTATAATCAGATTAGGGAACTGTAGGCGCATAGCAGCAATCCCATTTTTTTCACAAATGCATTCATTCCGTGATACTCTTTTGCTTTTTAGTTGCAAGGTGTTAACTTTATTCAGCAACCCTTAGTGTATTACGCAGCTCTACTCTACTCTATACATAATGGGGCTTCCAATTTCTTTCTAAAATTTCTATATACTACCACTTTACACCTCTTGGACATAGATGTGTTAGTCCCCTACAATGTGACCATCGAGTAAATAAAGCCTGATCTTGGCTTATAACTGTGAATATTATTAGAACTTGTTTGTTTTGCTGAACTCTGTGTGTTTATTTTATTCTTTATTATTGTTATTTGTATTGTATTTATGTCTTTTTTGGGGTGTTTATTTTATTTTTTTTGTGTATTTGCATGTATAACCAAGACTGCATAGACAGGATAATAGTTTATACACTTTGGTGGTGGGTTTGCTACACTGTTTGTGAAATTGTATTAACATTTACTTTGATTATTTTACCGTAGGAAATTTCCTATATTGTTTCCAGCTGGGACTTCCCATCTGGCTATTTAGAAACATCTATTCTGTCTATATTAGTCATCATTAAGTAAAACTAACATACACTGCATGCGACTGTAAGCAATAATATGTGTACGTGAATGTGCATGTTTGTATATGAGAACAAATACTGACAAATAGTGTAATAAGTAAACATACAAATGTGGCTGCACTACTTAGTTAGATTTCAAACAATCCTTTGGGTGAAAATATGTGTCTCTCAAATAAAGAATATCTTCCTCACACAGATATTGTCTTTAAAGGATCTCAGTAAAAAAGGAGCAAATAAATAAATACAAAATACAAAACAACTTTAAAACTGCCTTTGGGGAACTTTGACTTTTTTAAGATTCAATTTGAGCTGCATCTGCCCTGAAATATCATACATGTTTTATGAGAAAATCATTCAGTGCAAACTGCAGTCAGTATAATAATAAATCTCAGCTTTCTTTTCAAACCCTTGGGGATACTTACAAAATATTAAAGCGGAAAAAAGAAACACAATATGTACATTTTAATCATTTAACAGAGCCAAATAAACACAAAAGGGAAAATAAATTGTTGGTACTTCTTGTAGGCATCTCATTTAGATTATTTACACATCTGAACTATATGGATCTCCATAAGAACTTGCATTTGTTTACCATCTTCAACATTGTTGCACTGCTCTAAGAAGTTTGGTGTGCAAGACTACAATAACTCAATCCCATGTAAAGTGAATTGATTTATCTGTTTGCATCTGATGTTCTAATCAGAATGATTGACTTGCCAACAACCAATTTGAGCTATACAAGTTTGCTAAAAGGACATATGATCTAAATTAAGATAATATAACATTCTCTTACAGGCTGTTTCCCATTAGATAGTGACATATGTAAGATTCCATAATTTTTTTTTCTTTTTCTTTTAAAAGGACAAAGAAAATATGACTACTGAAAGCAATTAATTACCCTTGGGAACATTATAGATTAAAAATGATAAAATTTTGTGTGTGTTGACATTTTTTTTTCTCAATGGAAAATCCAAATTTTGGGATACTGTCAACCTAGACAAATAAACAAAACTGCTTATACTGAATTCCAGGCTAAAAACTGGGGAAAAGTATATGCATTCATGAGATATCATGGCATCAAAACACCTATTTTACTAACACTTATGTTTTCCTCTGCCACTCCTCCTCTCCCTGCCAAATAAAGGATTAATTACCTTTATAACGCCTGGTTCCTCTGTGCTGGATCCAATATTAGCACCAAGGAGGAACCTAATGCACATAAGGCCTTCCCCAAAGGAAAGCACCTAATTTTATGTTATATAAATTGCTAGCCCCAAGTCCCTCACCAGCTATAGACTCAGGGAGTGTGTAGTGCATGAAATCAATTTAGTTACAGCACTGGATCTCTGGTGAGTTCATGCAATAAACACTGAATATTGTTCTGGTGGGGCAGTGGAGGGCAAGCACGGACTGGCCCTTGGGAGCTATCAGGAATTATCCCTACAGAGCACAGGTTGAATTCAGGTGGATTTTTTTTTTTTTTTTTTTATAATTCTTTATTTATGCATTCAGGTGGATTTTTAAGTGGGCAGGGACTAATTATGAAAGTTCAAAGAGTATCTGGCAAAATGTTGGTCTGCAGGTCACAACCTCAGTTTTCACTGCCTGTAAATATCAGGGAGACTAAAGGATAACTAGTGTGTGACGAAGTGCCCTTCACCACTTGTTCTTGGAGAGGACTAATGGCTAGCCTTTTGCCCTGTGATTATGGCCCCTGTGACTTATTGGATTTTAAAAAACTTTTTCTGCCCCTTTAAATCCATGGGAAAATGTGCATCTTCCCCTCCCCCTTTTTCCTGTCCATGGTTCTCTCTGCAGGGTGTTGTCCCAGGGACACTGCCAGACCAGTTGAAACTGGCTGCTTTGTCCCTTCTCAAGCTCTCATCAGCCCTTGTATTGTTTAACCCCATGGCAATCCAACTGTATTCGTGAGATCTGAGCACTTTTCAGACATATTGAGCGCTAAGATCCAAGCTATCTGTATTATAAGAGTTATGTATTTTTATGTGGTTTTTGTAACAGTTTTTGGACTTAGAGATATTTCCTGTTACTGGAGATAATAGGCTTACCACAGCCACTTAAGTCAATTACCTCCAGGATAGAGGAGAAGATAGACCGGCCGCACAGCCTAAATCTGTGGAACTGTTTTGGGCTTAAAAGCCATGCTTGCGGTCGGTCAAATGTGACTTCCACAAATCTTTTGAACCTCTGCTCTGATCTGGGTGATTTTTGGATATGTTGTTCACCCAGATCAGGGCTATCCAGGGATGTATTTGTGGGGATATATGGTGTTTTGGGGTGTTTTCTGTGTTTTGTAAAAATTGGGTGTTTTCTGCCTGTGGGTAATTGAGTTAGTCCATGGTGTTTGTTAATTTTACCACATGACAGGAGGCTTCCTATTTTGCATTAACTCTCTTTACTAACTCCACATAGCAGTAAAGAAAAGTAAAAACATTAACCAATCAAAATGCAATAGGAAGTATAGTGTTCCCAGTGATGAGGCTCCTCCCCCTCTTTCTTTACTGCTCCGTCAGAGTTTTTGGCTCTTCCCTTATATTACTGTTTATATTGATTTGTGTATACTTCTTTTCATATAGTTTTATACTGTGTGTATACTGTCTATATGGATTTGTGTATCCTTCTTTTCATATAATTATATATACTGTGTATATACTTCTCCTATTCTTATATACTGTGTTCTCTCATCTTAGGGACACTTCCCACTTTAATTTACCTTTCTTCAGGGACTCTCTTCCCTGCTCCCTTTCCTACCCTTCGCTTGAGGGTTTTTTTTATTTCCCCTTTCTTTCTCTTCCTTTTGTTCTGGCGCCATTTCGATCGGTCGGTCTTTTCGCCGACAGATAATTTTTTGCTTGTTTTGTCTCATACCTCTGAGGGTAACGATCACCCTCCCCATCTGTTCTCTCCCTCGCAACTTCACAGCTGCACTCGCATTAGCCGGCACGGTGGGAAGCTCCCTTTTTTCCCGTCTCCGCCATCTTAGGAGATCCACGATCTCCGTCATTCCGGCTCCTGAACACTCCGCTACCGGCCACATCCTCAATCAGGCAGGGGTCATCAGGTCAGTTGCCTATACTGTAGCCTGCACTATAGGGACTGTTAACCCTGTGCATTTGGGATGAGGCTCCTATTATATTGCTGCTGCCAGGTGGATTTTGTGCAACCTATCTATATATAACTGGGTGAGGCCCAGTACAAAGCCCAATATACCCTGCTGGGGTTACTGGTATTGCTGATACCTCATACACTGATATTATATATTCACCCTGCTGGGGTGTATCATACTACTGATACTACTGTATCATCTACCCTGCTGGGGTTATTCTCTGATACTACTGATACCACTATTACATTTGATATATTTAAACCCTGCTGGGGTTATACAGGTACTGCGGGTACCATCACTCACTGTGAATCACGCTACAGACTGACCCCTAGCCAAAAAAATATTATGCCCTGTGCCACCATCTCAATATTGTATTTGATTTATACTATTATACTATTATATATTTATCATGGAAGCATCCCAGAACCCTGCGGACTTCCAGGCAATGATTACTGAAGCCATCTCTGCCTCAATGGAGAAAGCGCTTTCCAGGGTAATGACGGCATCTGCCGATCACACCAAGAAAGCCACAAAAGCCCAACACCATGACTACGATTCTGAGGCTTTGGAATCGCACGCACAGTCTGACTCCCGGCCTAGCAAACGCCACTGGAAGGGCGAAAAGGGGAACGATATCCCGGGCAAAGGCAAGGCACCAGCCAAACGCCACAAGCCGACCCTGCCTAGCTCTGCCCCACGACACCATTACTCCTCGGATGAGGGGGAAGAACACACGCTCTCCATGGCTGTGTTGGATGAGTGGCAGGCCGCGGATTCTGATTCGTAGGTAGATGACAGGGGCTCAGATACCGGATCCCATACCGGTTTCTTACAAGGTACTTTCTTGGATGACATCCAACTGCCGAACTACCTTGCACCTGCCCAAGAGGAGGGTGAAGTCATGCTGGACCCCACTGGTCAACTTCTTTTCAATCCTCGAAACATCCGGCATCCACGTTCTGGGGACTGGACTCCCCCCGAACACCTCTCTAGATTCATGCATCTGTAGCTCCGCAAACCGATGGACAAAATGGTGCGCTATCGCCTACGTTCAGAATGCCCTCGCCCTTCGCTTCCCGACCATGTGGCTCAGACTCCGGAGTTCGACCAAGTCATGACCACCTTCATGTCTCGGGGTGGCCGTGACCTCCGGAGAGGTGTGGAGAAAGGATTCCATGGTGTCCAGGACAAACTACTGTACTCTATTGGCCCGCTTTCCCGCATCATGTATTTGGCGGACGACACTTTTACAAGGGCTGACCTGTTCGATGCCAGCATGGTAAAAGAATGGGTGCATGACGTAAGAGAATGGGCACAAAGGTGCTTCTGTTTTGTTGGTAACACCAACGTAGCCCTCTCCTCTGAGAGGCGTAAAGCAGCATTGCTCCGCATAGACGGAAAGCTGGTGGAATTGGGCAACAAGGAGTTGGGACCAATGGCACAGGGCAAACTGTTCGGGGAAGCCTTCCTGAAAGAACTGAACAAACATGTTACTGTGTTCACATCCCTTAATAAGGCTCAGACGTCTATGAAACGAGTCTTTAGGAGCTACCCCAGTAGCCGCCAAAGGGGTCGTGCAGCCAGCCGCTTCTGGCCTTCAGGCCCCCGCTCACAAAGACCTCAACCCTTCTACCCAGAAGTGGGCTAGAGGCAACCATTCTCCTACACCAGAGGAGCTGACCGAGGTAGAGGACCACGTGGCCGTGGCCGAACACGCTTCCCCACAGGTAAGCAAACCTTTAATTCACAGTCCATTTTCCACACATACTGCAGGTCGTATCGCTCTATATTTTCAGAACTGGACAACCATCTCCTCGGACGCATGGATCCTCCAGACGGTACAAGGCTACATCATCGATTTCGTAGACCCACCAAACCAGAAAGTACCTCCGCACACCATACAGTGCTCCGCAACCACCAACTCATCGACGGCGAACTATGAGGGCTCCAGTCAAAAGGTGCGATTGAACCTGCTCACGTTCGAGGGGGTTTCTTCAGCAATATATTTCTGGTGAAGAAGAAATCATAAATCTGCGGAGGCTCAATGCTTATGTAATGTACAGGCATTTCAAGATGGAAGGCATCCACCTTCTCAGAGTCCTCCTCCAAGACTGGGACTGGTTCATAAGACTGGACCTCAAGGACGCGTACCTGTCCAACGCACCTGCTGCCAATTTCTCAGGTTCTGGTGGCGAGGCCTACCCTGGCAATTCACATGCCTCGCTTTCGGCCTCAGCTCGGCCCCGTGGTGCTTCACCAAGCTGCTGAAGCCAGTAGTTGCACATCTACGAGCACGAGGAATTCGGTGCATTATCTTCCTGAACAACCTTCTACTGTTTTGCCCCGACAGGTCCAGACTGACTCAACACACATGCTATACCACAGAATTCCTGACGTCCCTAGGATTTGTGTTGAACTACCAGAAGTCAGCGATATCTCAAGCCCAGACGGTACAATTCATGGGCTTCGAGATAGACTCCAGGTCCAGCACACTATGGCTGCCGACATCAAAGGTCGCAGCCATCAGAAAGGAACTGTGCAGAGTCATTTGCTGCTGTACCATTCCACTCCGCAACCTGGCTTGGATAGTAGGCCTACTATCCGCCTCTATTCAGGCGATTTTCCCGGGACAGCTCCACTACAGGGCGATGCAACGCCTGAAGACCTCCTTTCTTTGCCAAAACCCTTCCTAAGACCAAACCATCCCGGTAACGGAGGCGGTCAAGGAAGAACTTGGATGGTGGTTGGACAGCATGGAGGCATGGAATTGCCGGGCCATCTTCGGGAACACACCCAACGGCAGGTCGACAGGTGGCCCCTGGACTTCCCAAGAAATCAACCTTCACATAAATTGTCTGGAACTCCTCGCGGGATTGTTCGCAATCCGCAGCCAAGCGAGGGACAGGACGAACTGCTGCATTCTCCTTCGGATGGACAACATCTCAGCGGTCCGCTACATCAACCGCTTGGGAGGAGCACGGTCCCGACTCCTCTCAGAGATTACGAAGGAGATCTTCGACTTCTGTAAACACAAAAAGAATTCAGCGCTAGTAATCACAAAATTAGTCAAGATAGGCAGCAACCCAAATGAAGGAAAACCCCTCGGGTCCTTCGGTGGATAGATACAAAAAGATATGGAAGGGCTGCACCAAATAAGGGTAGATAGTCCATTAAAGTATTGCTAGGGTGCCAGTAGATGGTCTAGGATACTTGAGAGATGGCCATAGCTCTCTTGAATGTGAGTTCTTCACTTTTTGTTACCTATCACACCCTGAACTTTCATACTATACCATTAGTCGCCTCTCCCTCTCTTGTATTTACATATACGGAACGGTCTACACTAGATGCATCCACAGAGGAACTCTATCAAGTATCCTAGACCATCTATTGGTACCCTAGCAATACTTTACTGGACTATCTACCCTTATTTGGCGCAGCCCTTCCATATCTTTTTGGATCTTCGACTTCTGTCTACCTCGCAAAATCTCTCTCATGGCAGAATATCCCCCGGGAGAAACGAACCTGACAGCGGACTGGTTCTCACGCCACTGGTGGGACAGCAGCGACTGGAGACTAGACCCACAGATCTTCCTACGTCTCTCGGACATGATAGGCCCCTTTCACCTGAACCTGTTTGCATCACACAACAACAAACAGACAACCAACTACTTCAGCTGGCTCCCGGACCCAGAGAGCATGTCCCTCGCTTGGCTCCTACTGGTCGCTCAACATTGTACGCTCCGCGATTTCGGCAGCCTACGTATTGGTCATCTGGATAGCCGTAGGGAAGGACCCACTGGTATGCCGCCTCCTGAAGGGCATTCGATTACAGAGACCTCAGAGACCCAAATATTCTCGCCTATGGGACGTCGAGGTTGTTCTACAGTTTTTGAGAGACTGGCCGGATAATGGCAGACTCTCTCTCCGACAACTCTCAGCTAAACTGACACTCCTGCTTTGTCTAGTTTCATTCCATCAGGGATCGGACGTGCGAGCGTTTGACATCGACGCCTTTTCGGTCTCCCCTGAGGGTGTTACTTTTAGAGTATCGCGTCGTACGAAATCGGACTCTATGTCGATCTTCTACCCTTTCTTCCCTACCGATCCTCAGCTTTGCGTGGTGTCTTTCCTGCATCGGTATGTGGAGGTCACATCCCCGCTTTGGGCCTCCACTTCAGGACAACTATTGGTGTCTTAAGTGAGACCACATGTACCCGTCTCGGCTACCACTCTTGCCAGATGGATACGATGGATTCTATCACTGGTGGCAGTGGATGAGGTCTTCGGAGCCCATTCCATTCGCGGGGTGGCGGCTTCTTCGGCTTTCACCTCGGGAGCTTCTCTGGCGGATATCCTACATTCCGCAGACTGGTCGCGAGAATCTACCTTTCGGACATTCTACTTCCGCCTGAGCTCGGGGGTCGGCCATGTCTCTCCTCCATCAGCGTTAAAAAATGCAAAATAGGAAGCCTCCTGTCATGTGGTAAAATTGAAGATTATGCTAGTGTTAGTGTACTTATAATCTTAATTTTAGTAATGACAGGAGGCGAGTATTTTCCCACCCCTTCCCACCCTTGGGAAGAGAGGACTCAAGTAAGTATATTTGCCTTCTATCTATTTCTTCATGGCATATAACAATTTACTTGTCATTGATAGTCTGTCGTTGATAGTGTAACATCTTTGAGAGTTTGTGTTGGGTTACTACCATTACTGCAAACAGTTTCCAAACCGGCTCCTAACCTATTTTACATTCTCTTCCAGTGTAAATTTGTGGTGTTACAGTTCATTCTTAGGATGGATACCTTTGGACCTTCTTTCATCCCTTGAGGCTTCGTTTATTGGAGAGTCACCCGTTGGTGCATGTTACAAGACGTTTGGACTTTTGGAACTTTATCTGT